CGGTCTTCCTGGTCTACCAAGGACCCGGCCCGCCGCGACCGGGGAGTCTGGGTCCTCCGGAGGACCCGGCCTGTCGTTTTGGACACGGCCCAAAAGTGAATCGGTTGCAGACGTACATCCAGCTATTTTCCAGAGAGAATTTCAATAAAATCCATCCAGCGGTTCATGAGCTATTTTGCTAACAGACACTCCAAGTCGAACTCTAACAGCAGTTTCTCAAGAAAAGGTTTCATGGCAGGTGAGGCATGTGTTGTGAACTGACACCAAATTTTAGCTTGATGTTTGTAAAACTGACTAAATAGTAGCTATTTACGTGTTTTCTAAGGTCAGCTAGTTGTGGCGGCCATCTTGAATTGGATCGGCTCCAAATGCTAAAGAGTTGTAGATGTCCATCTAGTTGTCATTTCCTGTTTCAATAAAATCTGTCCAGCCGTTCATCAGACATTTTGCTTACAAAGTTGACACTTTTAGTTAATACCAAAGTAATGTTGCATTAAAAACATGATCTTTTGAACTGTTGGTGATAGACGTGTTTGCTCAGGCAAAGAAGGAGCTGACTGTCCCATTATTATTATTWTTTTTGTTTAGTCCTCACCAACACCTTCACTCCTCTGACATCTCCTCCTGAGAACACTTCACATGTTTACATACCAAATAATACAGCCGAGAGGAATAATTATCTTGTGACTCAGTACCAGATTTGGTCTAAAGTTAAGGCAGAGTGTCCTCATGAGGATGAGAGAACATGAGATCAGGATAACAAAAAATAAATAATAATAAATAAACTACAAATCCCAGAGTGTCTGGTTAAAGCATGGWGTGGAATGACTAATACTTCATGACTTTGGGTTTAAACATCAGCAGCAGTGAGAGGAAACATGATCTGAAGACACATAAGAGCAAAGAGGGAAACATAATCCAATAATCGTTGAGCTAATGGAAGGGAAAAAAATGACAGATATGTTTTCCTTCATGTAAAGATTTTGTGGTTTTTCTTTTGCATACAAGGCCAAGAGCTATAAATGAGACACAGTGTGGAATGTTACATTTTTAAAACGGTACTTATTGTAAATAATGGCAAGTATTTACAGTATAAACCAAGGGCGATTATGTGTTATGACTGTGTGTTTGTAGTTTTAGCCAAATACCTTGTGAACTAATCGGCAGATSTTACTGAAACTCTCAGAAAATAAATATTGGATATTCATCTACAGATAATTAACTTGTGGAGTCAGCTTCATCCAAGATGGCCGCCACAGTAAACGGACGTCAGCCAACACAACAGTGACTGTAACGTAGCCATTTTTACTGACAACAAACTAAAGTTTGGTGTGGTAGTAGCTGAGACTGAAGCCCAACACATATTCGGAGCACTAAATGACTGGGAAAGATCTGTTAAAGCTTTGTCGTTATCTATTACAGTTAGCTCTGTCTGTCTGTTAGCGAAATATTTTGCGAACTGCTGGATGGATTTTA